GTCCTAGGTTGCCCGTAGGTGCTATACACACAAAGATATACACATTTTTTTCCCCTCAAACCCTAAAATCCTGTGTCACCATTACACAGAGTGAATATTCAGAAGGTTCCCTGGGACCTTTGAGTCAGTTTCAGGTCTCCCACAACTTACAACTTTACTTTTTTTATTTGTTTACCTTTTTTGTTTGAGGGACACATGGTCCCTGGACATAGTCCTGGCTGTCTCAGAACTCAAAGACCCTCTAGGCTCTGTCTCACGAGCGCTGGCATTAAAGGTGTGCTTCACCACACACAGATGACAACATCTCTTTCCTTAAGGTCTATTTATTACAGTGGCTGGACAAGTTCCAGAAGCCCATACACTGCAGCATTTGTGATTCTGCAACCACCTGCCTGTGAAAATCTGATTCACCTGAGCTGCCTTCACCACTGGTCATTCCTTGCTGCTAACTGCCTGGGGCACACCGCGGCCACACTTCACTGAAACTCAAGGGCCAGCATCCGCAGCCAGTGGGAACTGGACTCCGCTGTCTTCACTCCCTTAGGAATGGTTAGTTTCAACATACAAAAGAAGGGAAACACTCCTTAGAAAAATGCTGGTACAAGACAATAAATAACAAATATGGTGAATAAATGTCTACACAGCAAGTGTCCTTATAACGTACTACATGGTAGTACAGCATAATAGTGCAGAATGTCATCTGAGAAAAGTTTGAGTGAGCCGGGCGGGGCGGTGGTGTCGCACGCCTTTAATCCCAGCACTTGGGAGGCAGAGGCAGGTGGATTTGAGTTCGAGGCCAGCCTGGTCTACAGAGTGAGTTCCAGGACAGCCAGGACTACACGGAGAAACCCTGTCTCAAAAAAAAAAAAAAAAAAAAACTGAACACTGAAAAGTTTGGGTGGAAATTTTTACCGATCAGAATAAAAATGATCTTAAAAGGTAAACAAGATGGCGTAAGCCAAGGTTTTGCTGTGTTCTTGAGTGTTCAGGGCATAGTGGTGACCAGGCTATGCTCTGTACCGGCTTCTATGCAGAAGACAGACACAGAAGACACATGCCAGCATGGATCTGTCAGACCCAAGTTACAATATGGCGTAAACCAACTATCTCAAGCATTTCAATAAGACTGCTAGAGAAAAGCCAAGTGTTACTTAATAATTTGTCTGGTTTCAATCTAAGAAGAAAGCTCCAGAGGACGAATTAAACTAATGAGTCCCTAGCTGTTGGACTTGGGCACTCAGACGTCTCTGTAACCACGCTGGCAGGAGTAAAAGCATTCTTTTTCTCTTTCTTTCTTCATGGTACTGAGGAATGGAGCCAGAGCCTTCGCATGCAAGGCAAGTGTTACACCATTAAGCTATAGCCGTTAAGTTTTGGGTGGGTAGGGTTGGAGGCAGGTTGTCCTATATACTCCGGGCCATTCTCACAGACACTTTGAGCTCCTGATCCTCTTGTCCCTAACTCCTAAAATCTAGGATTTTGTCACCACACTGAGGTCTGGTGGCATGCTGGAAGTCAATGTCAGGGCTCCCTCCATCCCAGGCAAGCAAGTGAGCTACAGCCCAGAAACACTCTAGAGAGAGACAGATACTTGCATCTGATCCCTTAGCTATCAGTCTATTGAGACAGGATCCAAGAAGTGGAATCTCCCTCAAAAATCTCATACTAGAAAAGAAAAGCCTCTCAGTAAATGGAGACTATGTCCCCCCAGAAAGAAACTGCAGCAGAGTGGGCTGACAACTTATAACACGAACCAGGAACCAAACAATGGTGGCAGCGAAGGGCAGGTGGGTCCCCAGTTCATCAGCAGGATTTCTGAGCTGTGTACAGTCCCCCCCACCCCCCAGGCTGTACCGTAAACCTAAATCATAACAGAACTCCAAAGATGGAGCTAGGTAGGAGACTGCTGGGGCTCCTTATTTATTCCATTTCCCGGGATGGCTACACTACAAACAAAAACAAACAGAAAAGCCAAAGACCTAAAACATTTCTCTGTGTGGTGGTTTGAGTAAGAATGATCTCCACAGGTTCACGTATTTAAATGTGGAGACAGTGGAGCTATTTAAAAGGATCAGGAGGTATGGCATTGTTGGAGGAAGTGTCCTGGGAACCGTGCTTCTGGCCATGATGAGAACAGACTAAAGCTCTAAACCTGTAAGCCAGCCTCTAAGTAAATGTTTTCTTTTTATAAGAGTTGCTAGGGAGTCTCTTCATTACCAAACAATGATGAAGAAATTGGTACCAGGAGTTGGGTACCGCTGTGATAGGCCTGACCACACTGTTTGTTGGAGGAATGTGGGGAAACTTGGGGACTTTAGACTAAAAAAAAGAAAAAAGTTGAATGCAGAGGGGAAAGAGGAAAGCAGGGTCGGGGAGCTAATAGGCTGGCCCAGTAGGAACATGGAAGATGGTGCTGAGGGGATTAGCACTGTTGGGAGACCAGCTAAAGAGGTTTCAGAGAGGAATATTAGTAAATGACCTAGAGACCACTGTTGTGGAATCTGGCAAAAAGAAATGTGGGTACTTATTTTTACAAAAAACCTTTCTGATGATGGGGCTGGAGACATGGCTCAGTGGTTAAGAGCACTGACTGCTCTTCCAGAGGTCCTGAGTTCAATTCCCAGCAACCACATGGTGGTTCACAACCATCTGTAATGGGACCCGATGACCTCTTCTGGCGTGTCTGAAGACAGAAAATAAATCTTAAAGAAAAAAAAAAGTTTCAAAAACATCTTCCTGATGGTAAATTGGGATCAGTGGCATTGGCAGATTTCAAGAGGTTCTAATACTGGCTGTGTTATGTGGTTATCAGCAATACCTCTTATGCAGATCTATGAGGAAAAGGAACAAACTGGACAAAGAGAAATAAATAGAAAAGTGTGCAGCTTGAGGAGAACAGGAGGACCATGGGAATGACGGAGCCAAATCCAGTGCTTACAAGAGCAATCATAAAAAAACGAAGCCTGCCACAAATGGGTAAGAACGGTGACCTCAGGGCAAGACCCCACCCACAAAGCTTCACGGATTTATGAGAAGAATTAAACAATAGCTTAAACCATGAAGAAAAACTGAAGCAAATGTAACTGAATGAGGCTAGGTTTCAGCCCCAACAGGCAGCAGGATTTGGCAGCTTTGATGACGTGATTCCTGCTTTAGAACCAAGGGTACAAGAAACGGGCTGTGGAATTTCCCTCCTAGACGAAGGAAAGCCCCTGAGGCAGGTGTGTGTCAGTGGTGCCCCTGCATGCAGGCCCAGAAGTCACTGTGTACAGTTGTGAAGGTGATGCCTGGATTGTACAAGAAACGCCAGTATGCTGGAGATTCATGGGATACCCACACAGGAAAGCTGAAGAGTGGGTGGGAAATCAGCCAGCCCAGGAGAGGTGTGTTGCAGTCAGCAAAGAGTTGGAGATCTTTAGAGTACTCTGACCACCACACATGGAGATGCAGAATTTGGGACTTACCCTGCTGGTTTTTATTTGGCCCAGTATTTCGGCACTATGCTCCCCTCTCCCCGTTTTGGAATGGTAATGTATATTCTGTGCTATTATGTGTTAGAAGTATGTGATCTGCTGCAGAGACCCACAGCCAAATGCTGGATGGAGCTTAGGGATTCTTATGGAAGAGCTAGGGGAAGTATTGATGACCCTGGTGGCTCTCAGAGACTGAGCCATCAACCAAAGAACAGAACATACACCGGCTGGACCTCACTCCCCCCTCCCTGTATGTGCATTGTGGTCTTTCATGTGGGTCCTGAACAGTTGGAACAGGGCTGTCCCTAAAGCTATTGCTGGTCTAGAATCTGTTTCCCTAACACGGCTGTCTTGTCTGACATCAGTGGGAGAGGAAGCACCTAGCATTGCAGAGACCTGATATACAAGGGCAGG